GATGGATGGATGGATGGATGGATGGATGGATGGATGGATGGACAGATTGATGGATGGATGGACAGATGGACGTATGGATGGATGGATGGATGGATGGATGGATGGATGGATGGATGGATGGATGGATGGATGGTTGGGCAGTATGGATGTAAGGTTTATTTTCTGTTTTCTGACCTTTGCCACAATGAAAGCAGGGTTTCCATGGTGCTCTGTTTGTCCTTTGCTTCTTGTAGGATCAGTTCCAAACTGGTGTTCAGCTGAGTGACGGTCCTCACTGCTTCCTCCTTGGTGCTGATCCGTCGAGCGCTGGATGAAAGCAGCAGCAGGGTTCCCTTCAGCTGCTCCAGACCCTGACACACATCCTGCAGAGCAGCAATTCCTGACATTTACCTACTGAAGATTCTGGCATTATTGGTGTCCTGTTCATAGTTTCCTTCAGTTATTTTCCAGTTGTTGTCACAGTTTCAACCAAAACTTACAGCTCAACTGGATATACTGTGCTGTGTTGTGATAAAATTGATCTATTTTTGTTTTCTGATGCTACTTTTAGATACCTACTGTTGAGGTCTGTGAGCAGAACCCAGAGAGACACAAAAGGTTCAAGTATAAAGAAAACTACAAAAATACAAAATAGGCAGACAAGGATACTTAAAGCATGTCACACTACCATCTGTGCCCTCATTTACCCATTCACACAGCACTCACTACAAAGCTAACCTACTGGTTCCAGGATGATTCCACTAACCCCTCTGCCACAACCACCCCAAACAGAAGATTGGAACTGATGATGAAAATCATTCAATAAACCAGAAAGGAAGTGGTCACAAGAGACTGGTTAAATACAAACTGAGGGAGAGAGAAGATGGGCAACACCTGGGAGAGAGACTTGATTACAAACAGCTGACCGGTGAGAGTGACTAACTGGAAAGTTATGAGACGCAGACTGGGGGTGAACTGAGAAATGACACAGAGAAACTGAGACAAGAGGAAAATGAGCCAAAGTAAACTAATATGTACACTATGATGATAAAAACACAAAGAACCATAGAAATAAAACCAAAACACACAGACTTTGATACCTTACAAACATTTTTAGCAATTAGCTATCATTGTGCTAGCTTTTTTCTACTATATTACTACTTTTAGCTAGTCTTGCCCTTCTAATTAGCCTTTTGATGCTCTAGCCTTTTCCTAGTTAAAGCTAGTCTTGCTGTTTAGATTTTAAATAGTTTTGCTAATGTTAGCATCTGTTTTGAAGCATTTAGCTTCTAGCTACTGCTCTGTTGCTTTAAGCTTATGTTCTGCTCATTTTAAGTTGAACTAAGTTGTAGCTTCAGCAGTCGTTCACACATTAAACACACTTTCTTGTTGCTTTAGCCATGAAGTCACCACATGATACGTTCAGTTTTTCTAAGAGAAGAAGGAAAGCATTCATACCATATGTGCTTGAAGGGCTTTGTATGTCTCTGATGAAGAAGAGCAGGACTTAATGGGATTCTTCAGCTTCTTGTCAAGCTCAGAAAGAGAAGTTTGTGCCTGAAAGTAAATTAGGATGAAACCGACTGTACACCCATCCCTAGCCGCTACATTACATCAGGGAGTTTCTCTACCTCTTCAAGGTTCTGCTGAAATTTGTGCTGGTGAGAGAAGCTTTCCTCCAGCTGTCCATCAAGCTGCTGGACACTCTCCTTCAGATCCTCCCAGTACCTGCCGATTTGGGTCAGACGGGCCTTCATGCGAGCTGCCTCCCCTGAGGACACAAACTGGGCCAAAGCCTGGGACTCTGTCTCCAGCTGAGAAAGAAGCTCAGCTCGGTCTTGAATTTCAGTCGCGACAGTCTGAAGAAGAATCAGGCAGAGTTTATGGTTTTATGGCAGAATATCCACACATCCAGCTGTAGTGTCTTCCTGCTCCTTCTGTGAGGTAAAGCTAAGGACGGCTCTTTTCTTCTCTGCTTTGATCTGACTGCATGTTCAGGAAACCGAAACTATAAATTTGATTGAGGCAAAGCAATTTATAAAAACACACTAGTAAACTAATGAAACCCAGCCTCTATTATTATTTGAACTGAAAATAAAATGTTGGTGAATATTAAAAACACCATTTAAGGCCTATTGAAAAGCAGTGTGCTGTATTTTTTGCTGAGTGGGATGTAAACAGCATCAGTGTTTCCCAAAGTTGGAGTCAGGACCCAAAGTGGGGTCCTGAAACATCAAGGTGGGGTCCTGAAAAGATTTTCTGAATTAATTACATTTTTGCCTTAGTTGTTAGAAATGAGTGAGGTTCGTGTATTTAAAATGGATAAATGTAGTATAATAAATATTGTTACTATGCCCATGTTTAGTTGACCTGATACAAATGTGGGGTCCCAAAACTTCAAGGTGGGGTCCTGAA